GGCCACTTGATAAAATTTGGTTCCCCCGCTGCCCCCCCCCCCCGCCCCCGCTGAAAGCCCAGTACGGATACTCTACCGATATATCCTTTCTCGAACCAGACGATCATCGGGATCAAGGGACGACGACGAGACAATCTCTCATTTATCTTCCATAATGCCTGAAATTTCAGTAACCCCAGCAACATTACCATACAAAATTAGATTTTCGGCGAGATGGCTTTGGGCGAGATGGTTTTCGGCGAGATGGTTTTCGGCGAAATGGTTTTCGGCGAAGTGGTTTTCGGCGAGATGATTTTTCGGCGAGATGGTTTTCGGCGAGATGGTTTTTCGGCGAGGTGGTTTTCGGCGAGATGGTCGGAATTCGTGGAAAGGGCGTGGTGAGGGCTTATGAAGGTCGGGTAAAAACTTTAAAGGGCTGTAACTTTGTTGTATTACAGTATCCGCAGCTAAAAGTTACATCAATCGATTCGTCTCGTCGAGCTCTACAAGATGAGCTAACTTTTAACCCGAAATTCGAGGCCGAGCGGAGACCATTCCCTAGTGAGTGTTTTACAGCCTTTAGGCTCCTGGTTTTGCTTTGAGCAGTTTGAGAAAATTGGTTTTAGATCGGTGCCAAGAAAATTGTTTGAAGTATTATTTAGTAACCGTGACAATTCGCTTTCCGAAACCTATATTTTTTTCCGGAAGTTCCCTTGTTTATGCAGTCCAAATTTTCTCAACGAACCTCGGCTAGCCTGCCGTGTTAACAGGAACTAGGCTTGCGGATTGCGGAAAAATAATAAACAAATGCTTGAAACAACCAAATTTTACACACACTATAAATCAAATTTTTTATCCAAGACTCTTTCAAAAAATTATGTTTTAGATCCATTCCAAGTTTCAGCGAAACCGCTAGTTATAATTAGATGCTCTTCAGTCGGCTAATTATCTGTACAAGAAGGCTGAAATGAAGATAAAAAAGCTCTGCGCCACAAAAACTTTTAACAAATAGAAGAATTACCGTGAATTAAAAAGAATTAAAAAGAAAAGACAAAGCAGGCTTTGATAAATTCGTAAATAAAATCAAGAACTAATACACATCATAATTTTTTGCTAGAAAGTGTGGATTTCGGGCATACTTCGCGGAAGTTCATTGATCAATCAGTCCCTCGGTTGCCCCAGCTGAATAATGAAACATTTGTTTTTTTCCCGAGGCGCGAGAGATCAAGGCGAGCACTTGAAAAGACCTGACAAAGGTTTATTGAAGCGTGAGCCAAAATTCGGGTTAAAGCTCGGGATATCAAAAATAGAATGTTTCATCATCCCCCATTACATTCACCTATTAAATCCAAATAATAAAATCGTAATATTAAAGTGATAATAATAAAAAAGCGTGTCTATATTCCGGAAATGAGCGATTGCAAAGGACTGTTTGGCTTATATGCAGTTTACCCCCCCCGCCACCTACCGTATCTCGGCTCCCTGTTCATCTACAGGTGTGTAAAATATACCGAAATACTCGCCAGTGCAAGACGAACATTTTGGTGTACTTTACATACTTGTGGAAGAACAGGGAGCCGAGATACGGTAGATGGGTGCCGGCTGGGGGAAGGGGGATAAACTGCACTCTAACCGAATCTTTCAATGTGATTGTCGGCTAATGAGAATAGTTTTCGTCATTAACAAAAAATCTAAATTTATTAATTTGCATCCAAAATTAGCATAAACTTCCGGTTCCTGTGATTTGGTTGGGAAATAATTCGGAAACATTCTCATTCTCAACAATCGACAGCTCCCATCCGGCTGCTGCTCTTCCCCGGATTGTAAGGTAAGGTTTTTCTGGTGGTACTCTTGGTTTGTTGAAACATTTATTTTCGTAAAAGTTTAAATTTTTGGTTTTGGCATTCGGCGTTTTTATTTTAAACCTTTTGCATGTTTTTATTGGGGTTAAAAAGCGCGCATTTTCCCTTCCTCGCCTTTCTTTTTAAGGGGGTGAGGGTGAACTTTATGTTGTTATTTTTGTATAGCATTTACATGGGGGTAAAACTAGCGGGAAAAAGGAATTGTTCTTTCTCTCCATTTTTTATTCATTTTTCCTGACGTTTGGCTTTATCCCGCTACAACGAGAGGCTCCGTTATTAGAATCCAATTGAAAAATTTCTGCAATACCATGGGTGAAACAGCTTTTTTGAACTCGCTGGGATCTGGTGGAAAGTATTCCAGTCCACTGGGTAGCTCACACCTGAGAAGCACAATAATAACCGACAACATCCGGTCCCTAAATGGCCTCTGCTAGCTTGCCCATAGCTCTGGGACCCTCTAATGGTTGCTGCTACCTCCCCCCGTTATCAACATCCGCAACCGATCTCTGCTAGCCTGCCCTAGCTTTTCACCTCCTAAATTGACTCTGCTAGCCCGCCCGTTCCCAGATCCACAATTCATTACCTAATAAAACTTACTAGCTGCCCATTTTCCTCCCACTTGTAGCAATATTCGGATCCACCGAACTAGTTCGTAGGATTATTGAACCCCCCTAATAATTTTTTAGAATAGCTAGAGATGAAACCTATTTTTTTTGTCCAAAAGTCTCCAGGCTTCAAAGCATTCAAAGCGTGGGCGTGGGTGCCCATTTTTCTTGCGCACTAATGGATTTCACCAAATGTCTCTGCTAGCTTGCCCAATCCTTCAAAAGTACATTTTCTCTGCTATTTGTCGGCAAGGGTATTGCGCATTGCGCCGTACGCTTTATTATGAAAAACCCACCGATTTTTTTTGCCATATGTTGACTGAAACTTCTTTTTTGAAAACATCGAAACTCGTAGGGCAACTACGGCAAATTTTTGGCGGGCTATGGGTCCGTCGAGAGACATACCAATGAGATTCCCCAAGGCGCTCTGCTAACCGGCCTGATTCCTCAAATGGTCTCTGCAAGCTTGCTCCAGGCTCATATCTTGTAAATCCTTCTTTTTCAGGATGTCAGCCCCTCCTCGTCCTCCACCTCATGCTCAATTGACGATCTCCTGCCTGAACTGCCCAATGTGTCATCTACCATTTGATGGAGATGTTCATCGTCCTCAGCGTGTCCATCCATCTGCCAATATCATTTGTTCTTTCTGTTTACCAACACAACAGCAAAGTGTACGGTTTTTTTTCTTTGTTTATTTCTGTCACTCTCCCTTTAAAAGATCTAAAAAAAGGGGTATTCACTTTTTATGAGAGTGTGTACAATCTATTAGTGCGTCTTATCTAAAGCCTATGTCTTTGGACGGCTTAAGTGCAGTTTACCCCCAGCCCCAGCTCCTCAGCCATCAGTCCTATTAATGCGCCGAGTATCTCAAAATGTTCGCCGTGGTCGAATTACTATAAAAAAAAATTGTTTTATGGCGGCAAAAATTGCTAAAAAAATTTTTACAAGATTTTGAAAGTCGAAAAGATTCTATGCTTCGATGTACTAGGAGTCTAAAACTCAAATATTCTTTATTTTCCGTTATTTTCCGACTCAAACGTGCTGTAGGCTTATTCTCCAGAGCAAGAGCTACATTTTGGTACCATTGACAGCTCTGTACGTCAAAAATAGCCGAGATACGAAAACTCACTTTGGAACAGTAAAAATTAACTAAAGAAAACCCAGACTTATAATTGTTATAAAAATTTTTCTAACAATTTTTGATGTAAGAAAACAACTTTTTTATAGTAATTCGACCACGGCGAACATTTTGAGATACTCTGCGCATTAATAGGACGTATGGCTGAAAAGTTACGGCTGGGGGGGGGGGTACAAACTGCACTCTAACCCTTTGGACCTGATGCCTTAGCAGGGGGGGAGGGGTAAAAGCCTCTCAACAACAAAATTTTCAAAATTCGGTTACATTTTCATATTTGTAGCCAAACGGCGGATCTAGTGCGTTAGCGGGGGGCTAAGTCCCTAGGCTAAAAAATGAACAATGTAAACCATTTTTCCTACTTTTTGGCAAAAAAGCGGTTCTGGTGCGTTAGCCGGGGGGGGAGGTAGCGGGGGTTATTAGATCACACCCCCGCTAGTGAACCAGAACACGAAAAATATCATACCTATTTTCTATCTATTTTCCAGTCGACGGCGTTCTACGTGGTGGACTTGCTGCAGGCGTCGCCCGGTCTCATCTACCGTACCCCAGACGGATGGATGATCAACACCAATCACGCCATCAAAGCCCCCGACTGCAACGTGTGCAATGAACAGGTAGATGATCACTTTGCTCTTTCTCTCTCTCTCTCTCTCTCGCGCTCTTTCTCCCTCTCTCTCTAATTCCTCAATAACCTTTCCTTGTTGTTGTAGATGAGCATCACCCGCCAGTGTTACGATATGAAATGTGGTCATGCCGTCTGCATGCCGTGTGCTATTCGTATTTCGACAAACTCCCGACAAGACGGGAGCACGATGGTCAGATGCCCATTCTGTCGACACGACGATGCCTTCACGTGAGGGCTTTTCTATTATAGGGGGGTAGCAGAGGGGATGTGAGGAATTCGGTGATCATTAGTGCGTTACTGGAGCTTGGCAAACTAGCAGAAACCATTTGGGGGCTAGAGGAGACGGCTAGTAAGGCAGGCTAGCAGAGACCATTTTGGAAAGGTATTTCATTAATTCTATTGGGCGATAGGATGTCTATTTGTGCGCAATGAGGATGGGGGATGCTAGCAGAAACCATTGGGGAACTGACGAGGCAGGCGAGCAGAGATCTTTTGGGAAATACTGACCATGCAAGCTACTACACTTTCCACCGGATGCAGCAAACAAGCAGTGACAGTTTGGGAAACCAGGGCTAGCAGGGATTATTTGGGAAAATCAGGCGAGGGCAGGCTAGCAGAGACCATTGGCGGCATATCCTCTATCGTCTTTTTCGAAAACCGGAAAGCAATTAGCATTTGTGGCTAATTTGCATAATTTGAGAAAATATTGAAAGGTTTTGTTCAGAAATGCCCCATCGACCCACAATCTCATCAACCAATTCATCGATTTTCTGGATCGACAGACGGCCAATATGGAAATCAAGGGAAGAATGTCATCTTACCAATGCTTCGATTGTCAGGTAATTTGAGGGGTCTTCTGGCTACTGTATCTCGGCTGTCCTCTATCGTACGAGGATGTACTGTATACCAAAATACTCGTCTTGGCCTGGCGAGTATTTTGGTATGCTTTGTAGCCTTGTATGTTACTGGAGAGCCGAGATACAGTAGGCCAATTGGTCGGCTGCCGGTCCCCCGCTAATGCACCCGTACCCTCTAATTATATTTTTCTTTTTTTTCAGGAGACGAATGAGGGATGGCGAATGCTATCATGCGGCCAGTGTTCGCAAATCTGTTGCGCCCTTTGCGCCTGGAGACGCCACAAACAACATCAGAATGTGGGTATCCCTCTCTCTCTCTCTCTCTCTCTCTCTCTCTCTCTCTCTCTCTCTCTCGCTCTCTCTACTAATTACACTCTCTTCTTGTAGATCACGGACCTCTTCCCGGGAACAACCGAAGAAATGGCCGAAAAGGGGAAAGGACTTCTCGAAGACGGGCTCGCCCACTTCACCAACAAGTTCAACACGTTCAATCGGGAAGTGGAGGTGGCCATCGGACAGTATCAACACGAGACCAAGGCGGTATGGAAAGGCTTTTTTTAATAGTACTGGTACTGGGCCGTTAGCGGTCCCCCCCCCGTTAACAGACCAGTCCCAATAATGCCCATCCATTTCCAGGTGCTGGACGGCATGCGTCCGGATGGCCATGCAGAAGCGGAAGAAAGACTCAATTTTGTGCGAAACACGATCTCACGTCTGCAGGTATTTTATAGGGACTCTTTTAAAGGGACTGACAAGGCATTATATAGCCCATTTATTGCCTTGTCAATCCCTTTGAAATTTGTATATTCTGTGGATTTAGACGGCAATGGAAGAATGGCTGCCAGATGGGGATCGCCTCCTCAACACAATCCGCCATCTCACAACGGCTACCCTCCAGGCAAACGCCCAAGCCACGCCCCCCACCCGCTAATGCCCAAGTACCCAGATGCCGAGATACCAAAAAGGATTAATGCTCCCCTTAATAATTAATTATTGTATTTCTTTGTAATGTCTTGTAATTATATGATTTCTCTGTTAATATTTATGTGTTTTTATTGGGAATAAATTGGTGAAAAAATGTGTTTTTGCGCTTTCTGGAAAATCAAAAGTTTTATAGAGGAGTTACTAGAATTGACAGGAATGATAGAAATGGTAGAAATACGAAACGTTCTAATAGTTATTACGGCAATTCGATGACCATTTTTTTATGAAAAAACCGGTGCAAAAAAGGGGTTTTGGTATTTTTTGGGAAATAAAAATTTGGAAAAGGCGTAATTATCCGAGACTTTCGCGAAAATGCTGCCAGGGCAGCCTAGCACTGTGCATCGACGATTCTACGTAAAAAATTCGTTACTGTGGCTTGTTGTCTACCATTGTTCATATGCTTTTTGGTCGGGCAAAGATCGGTAAAAAATGTGTTTTGATGTCTCCTTAAAAATCTAAAAATTGGATTTGTTGAAAACTACGAATCTAAAGCAGTCGTAATTCGCAATGCTTTTCGGAATTCCTGATATATTGGGCCAGACATGCAAAATGAACGTGCCCAAAAACCAAAATCCCGCGAGACGAATAATTCCTGATTTTTAATAATTAAGTGGTGTATTTCTTTGTAATGTCGTGATTGAAATAAGTTGGCGAAAAGTGCTGAGGTGAATATTGAGAAATAAAAAGTCGCGCCATTATTAATGCATTCGCTGTCTGAAATTCGAAACAGCTGATTCCCACAAATCTGAAAATTCCCCCTGACCGTTCAGTGAAAATGTTTCAGCTCACTCACATAACTGGCTTAAGCCTTACAAAATTTATAGCGAAAAGGCCAGAAAACCAGTGCTCGAGCGCCGGTGAAAAATCATCTATTTTTCGCCGACAGATTTAAGTGTTTCATAGACGATAGAGAAAAAAATTTTTTGGGCGGCTAGTATTGACACGGTAATAGCAATGAAAATCGATTGAATAGTGGCTATATAATCAAAATAATTTTACATGGAAAGAAACAGAGAAGCGCACAAAATAAAATTCAGAGACAGGCTAGCAGGGATTTTTGGGGAATCAAAAGCACAACAGCGAGATTGGCAGCGATCATCGTGTAAGAAAAATTTTTGATGGTTAGCAGAACTCACGTTAATATCACAATAGCTATTCTTCTTGAAGCTTTGAATATATGAAACATTCCTGTTTGTCGACATTTAGTAAAATGGATTGCAACTCACTTAATTAATGGCAAGATGGCATTATCCGCCTTTTAGAAATTTCTCATGTCACTCCCCGAACTGCAAAAACCACTTCCCCAAGCAAAATAAATTTTTTTGAAACATGGAAATTGCCTCTGGATATTTTGTGGCGTAAGATTTTTGCGCGCGGGTGGCAGTAGGCTGGCCGATGGCGTTTAGAGATTCAAGGTTTTTTCATGGACCGATCGGAAAGCGAAAAGTTGTGCCGGTTCATTTTCAAACACTTGAGGCTGAATTACACCGATTTTGTATCAGCTTTTCGAAAATAATTTTGTCGTATTTTAATACGCCGAAATTTCAGTGTGCAAAATATTTGAGATCATAATACAAGGCGAAAAGCGCATTGAAATTTCGGCAAAATGATATTTCGACAGAATGAGATTAATCCGATTACAACACCGAACAACAACCTAAAAGAATACAACAATGAGGGCTGCTAGTCACGGCGCGATGAGTTTTTTTTTTGAAACATTTACACATCTTCTCATCCTGTTTTTACGGGGCCATAGCCGAGGGCAGGCAAGCAGTGATTCCTTGAGAAAGTCAGATTTCTAAAAAACTGGATTTAAATTGATTTTGGTAAAGAATTTTCGTAGATTTTACTGGCATTAGAAAACTGGCTTTCAAGGGGGGGGGGCTTTGGCAAGTCAGCGGGAATTATTATATTTTTATTAAATTTTTGACGTATTTATGTGCCTACACCGACAAGTTTGGCGCGTTTGTGTTTAATAATTACTCTAAAAAGGAAAATGGAAAAAAGAGCTGACAAAAACATTAGTTTGCATGTTAAAAAGTGATGTTTCGGATGCTAAGATACCAGTTCCAGGGCTTCCCAATTTAATTGGCAGTTAAAATATAGTAGGATAGACCGGACGTATTAGATTTTCCCGTAACCGTGACACGCAACGCGCACACATTCTGGGCGCTTTGGATTAGTTACACGCTGCAAAGGCAGATTCATGCGTCGCGTGTCGCGGGCACGATCAAGCTTCCACGACAAGGTTTTCCGAATTCCAGGGTTAAAGAAGCCATGTTTCATTTTTCGTCCCTCTGGAGCATCAAATTAAGAAAATAATCGTACGTATGAAATAAATGAGCTCAAATTGTTTACATAATACCGTAACCGCGACTCGCAAGGCGCCCACCGTTCGGGGCGAAATTCAAGAATAACAAAATGATGTTTCAGTTCCCGTCGCTCTAAAGCGCCAGATTGAGAAAATAGTGGGCGTGCATCAGAATAAATTTGAGATTGGAAATTCAAGCATGATTTAGCTTTGAATTCCCGATGCTTTTTACCACGCCGCGACGCACGCCGCAACGCGCCACGCGCACACCGTCCGGCCCTGAAGCGATTATGGAAATGGAAAGTCAAATGGGTACGTTGCGTTTGCAGGGCACATAAATTGGCCAAAGCAAAAAACTTGGCGAAAATTACGGATAAACTATTTATGTTTCATCTTCCAGCTTTCTAAAGCTTCATATTGAGAAAACAGTTGGTGAAAAAATGGGCGATAGCTATCTGCATTTTTTAGCGTTAAATTAACTAAAGATTTGACGCACCGCGGCGCTGACAAGGAGTCGCTTTTAGGTGCGTTTGGCGTTTCTGGACGGGACCTAGCTAGTTTGATAGAGAAAAAAATCCTGAGCAACATCCCGTTTTCAAAAAGTGCTGATCGATAAAGGTGTTTTAGAAAATTTAATTTAATCAAAAATGTTCCCGGCATTCGGACCCTTGTGGTGATTTGAGGTGATTTGCGTCGGTCGGCCGCCCCTGCCACATGGGGACTTCACGCCTTCTGGATCCCGTCCTAGGCTTGGCCAAGTGGCTAGTGCGTTGCCCTACGAATTTTTTTTTTTTGACCTTTTGCCACAAGTTCGATTCTTACTTATCGTTAACTTTTGCTTTTTGCTAATGAAAAATTTATGTTCCGCTAACGGGCTCAAGAACCAAAAAGCAAAGCGTTAGCCAGCGCGAAGATTCGAACCCGAGGCAAAAAAATGTTAAAAAGTTGGTAGGCAAGCGCGCTACCAATACACCAATGCAAACTGTGATGGAGGCCTTGGCGGAAGGTTATGAATGGCGCCTTCCTAAGCGCCGAAAACGACGTGAACCGAGGAAATGGACCCGAAAACTAGAAAAAAGCGCGAACTTTAAATTCAATTTTCTAAAATTCCTTGATCGATCAGCATTTTTTGAAAATGGTATGTTGCTCGGGATTTTGTTTTCTCTATCGAACTAGCTAGGTCACGTCCAGAAACTCCAAAAGCACCTAAAAGCGACTCCTTGTGAGACAGCGGGACAGCTAGATATTGTTGAGTGGTTTTTGGCTTCTCTGCTCCTTTAAAATAACAGGTTTTTTTGTTATTTCCGTATTGAATCCGGGGGAAAACTGAAAAAACCCGGTGCTGGGCTGTTAACCGTAGGGGAATAATTTTCATGTTTCCGCTTCAATAATATTAATGTAATAATCTTACAAAATATCGAGAAAGCGTATTTGCACTGCTTTATTGCTTAATTTTAATAGCTAGAAAGTCCTAAAAATATTTGTAAAAATGTAAAAACGGAAAATAGGTCTTTAGTGATTTTTTTCATGACATATACCATATTTTTGATCCGATTTGATTATTTGTATAATTTTTTGAGGTACTTTTCGCATTTAAAAACTTTGTAAAATGCTATAAAAATGTTTCGAAGACTGGTCGAGCAATCATTTGATTTCGTCATTACACGCCCAGCGCGCCCAACAAGAACTGTCAAGGTTGAAACACATAATTTTCACCACTTGAAAGGAATTTTGGAAAAATTGGGAATCTGATTAAATTGAAAGATTTTGTTTTTACTTTGATTTTTATTATAAAATTCTTTTTTAATGTATTTAATAAGGCACACGTTTGTACATAATATTTATACAAGTACTTTTGTCTGCCGATTCGTCTCTTCGTAAACATATCGGGGTCGTAGTTGTTCCGTTTCCTCCGAACTCTTCCGGCCATATTCTCGGAATTGGGCCGCCGGTTGGACGATATAGATTAGGCGGTCAAATATCTTAATTACTAAAGTATAACTGTAAATTAATAAGCGTCATACACCCTAAAAAGATATAATTTATTTTCAATCAAGACTATAACATTTTTTTCTTGATCAATCGGTATTATATTTCGATTTTAATAAGCTCATATTACACGTATAATATTTATAAATAACTATAAACGTAAACGCAAAGAAACAAGCTTGTAATAAAATTGAAATTTGAAAGACTTGGATTAACAAAAAAAAACATGTTTCGTCTAAGTCAGAAGTATATTTTTCTAGAATCAGCTCAATTGATGTTGTCGTGTCTATCGTAGCCGATTTAAATTCATGTGTATATAAATATAACTAAAAATATACAAAAAAATATTACATACCCGCATTTCATTTGGAGCAATATGGTGTAGAGAGATCAAATCTTGGCCGATTGCTTTGAGACTCTGGAACACTTTTTTGGAAGGTTCCGAGTTTGAGTGTTACAGGATTTTTTGAAGCATCATTAGAAACACTACCGCAATCTGGGGATCAAAGATCCAATTATTCGTGATCCAACCGCCAAAAATATCGTTGTAGTGGTAACCGTTGAATCTAAAAGGTGTATAAGTAAACGTATAGTTTACATACCGCTGCTGCCCTCGTGAATTCCGGGTATCCTGTGGGAATATGCCAATGTTGGCAAGGCATCTGAAAAGCCCCGTTACGTCAGTATGGCTTAATAGGTACTTTTGCATTATGGGGGGCATTTACAAGTGGGAAACCAACTTTTTCCGTAGTCTCCAACTTTTCGAGTATGAACAGAAAATGTGTTTCTCCACTCTTTCTTACTATTTCTAAATCCGAATTTTTAATAGAATAATACAAAAAAAACGGTTTTATATCAATTTTGTTTAAGTTTCCTAGATACTTAGTTTTTCACTGAAACCCTATTAGGATATGTGCTATTCGTTATTAGGAGTGTCAAGAATTATACAAAAAAAAAAAATAGTTTTTCCCCTGATAATGCCAAAGCACCGATTAATGAAATAATTCGACTACCTCGCCAGGCCTAAATCCTCATAAATATCATCGGGACATGTGGTTGTATTCCGATACAAAAGACCGTCAAATTGTCGCATCGCTTCCCTCGATAATACATACCCAGCACCACCCGAATTGTAGCCGTTTTCCTTAAAGGTTATCAGGGTGAAAAAGGACTGATTGGACTTCGATGAAATATATATTTTTGAAGGATTTGCTTGCTATCATGATTTCGTAATTCAAAACAGCGAAATGTCGTAATTTCGAAATTTCATTTCGAAATTTTGCGAATAATGCCCATAATTTGGTTACGTAAATTTCGGCATTCCGAAATTTCGACATTATGAAATTTCGACCTTTCGAAAGTAATCGAGGCTTTAATTTTTTTGCTTAATTAATTTCATTTTGCTTTTTGTAAGGCTTTTTTGGCCAAATAATTTGTAAAGCTAGAAAAATAATGTAATTTGTAAGGTTAGGGCCAAAATCTCCCTAATTCCTTGTTTCGATCAAAATTCAGCCGGTAAAAAAATATGTTTGACAGAATCGTTACCTCAAGAGCCGGTATCTCGTAGTAATAAAGGAAAAAGCTTTTCGAGTGATTTTCCGAATGAATTAATTTCGAGCTACGTATTTACGGGGAAGCTGATCGTAAGAACACATTTTTTCTACCCGATTTGGGGGAAACCAATTTTCAACAAGGAATTTAAAAAAATCCACATTTTCATAAGGTTGAAATTCGTAAATTACGGCTCTCATCATACAAAATCGTTTGTAAATTTTCAAGGGTTTTTCGCTACCCACGCATTTTTTGGGAAACGGATTCCGAACAGCCAAAACTTCTTTTTCGTCTTATTCTGAATAAGTCACCAAAAGGGAGCTACAGTTAGAGCTTTTCGGCTGCTGGATGGAGCGCTCGAAGGAAAAGGCCAACGTGAAAAAAATGTTTTTGCACTTCCTACTATTGTGCCGTCCTATTTCTTGTCTAATAGATCCTTGTGAACCGGCTGAAACATTTGCGAAAAATGAGGTGAACCTTCTTAAAGCCCCCACCAGACTCGGCTTCATCCGGAATCCAGCAAAATGTGGTTCGTTTGGATCAAGATGAGAGAGGTATTCTCGAAGATTCTCCACCACGACGTACGTGTCGTCGTCAGCCTAAAAAAAATAGATTATCAGAGCGTCGCCCCTGCGAAAATTCAGGGTTCTTTTGGATTATCGGGGGGAGGGGGTGGCTGCTTTTCTATAGGCTCAAAAATGCCTAGTACCTACAAAAACTCACAAAAATTACACTTCAAATTTACAAAAAACATGCTTTGAAACTTTTTCATTTCGCCTCAAAATTTAATTCGCTAATTTACGCAAAAAATTCTGTAGTCTCCCGATGTTTTCAGCAAAATTTATATTATAAGACTGTGGACACTACGCCAAAATAGCAAAAATAAAGCCAAAAACGCTTACTCGCTTTAGATTCTAAAAATTGGAAACAAATCACGACCCACCCCCTCCCCTCGATAATGCAAAAGCACCAAATTCGAATACCTTAAAATACCAATCGAAATCGCGTGAAATATGTGTATAAGAGTAGTGGAGGGCGTAGATCGTCTTGAAGAACAGATTCTCGTATTTGTCCTCAAGGCCTGAAATCGGGAATTTGAACGGCCGGCATCAACATAAAATTGTAAACTTTCGATTTTTTGATTTCTCTAAAAAAGTATGATACATATTTTCTGAAATATGCGCCCCACCGATGCCTTAATCATGAATATTTTATAGTGGATTTTTGAACAGAATAGAATATACTTATTATCGACGAAATTTTAATTTTTTTAATTAATTAATTAGTTAATTTAATTAAAATTTTAGTTTAAGTCCTTTAGCTAATTTAATTAGTAATTTATGTAAATATCGACCCTGTTCAGTTATTTTAGTTAGTGTTTAAAATTCACCTCTCGAAATGATAGTTTTTGATTTGACTTGACTTTAACTTGACATGATACATACTTTCTAAAAACGAGATTCGTAATTTTAATTAGTTTTTGATTAATAAAACTATAGTAATAATTATAATTTTCGGGCTAAAATAATTTTACCAGTAAAATCGGCACAATAAAGTTTATTTAATATAACCTTTTTGTATTACGATTTTTTGTTTAGAAGATTCGGTTCCATATACTTTTGCTGTATCCTGAGTGGAGAAAGGTTGCTGAAGTTTGTTTTTTCGTTCCTTAGTTTTGTATGATACATATTTTTTAAGAGAGGACCGGGTCTTTTTTGTTTTACTGTCTTTAGCATCCTCTCTTACGATATAAGTATCCCTTTTTTGCGAAATGATAGGGTGCGTTTTAAATGAAAGCTAGACTTTTTATCCTAAAATCTCGACAGTCGTTTTTCACCTTCCCCTTCCGATACGTTTTCCACCCCATTAATTTCTGGTGTTTCGTCGGGATGGGAATCTCGACATGGGGTGAAAGCGTGTATCTGGCGAACGGATCTCTAGGAAAAGTCGAGATTTGTGGCTGTCGCCGTTCCCATTCATCTCCCAACCCTTTCGTTTCGAAATTTCTCGTCAAGTTAGGAAATTTTGAAAATGAGAAACCGAAAGGTTTCAAAATTGAGATCTAGAGGCCGTATCGATACAAATACCGAATTCGGCGTATTCGGAATTCGCAACAACATTAAGAATTACAACAAGCGATATGTGACATGTACGCAACAGTAAAAAAATGCCGACATTCGAAATAGCAGGCAAAATGCCGACAAGTTACAATGTCGATATTTAGAACATCGACAAACCAAAGTGACGAAAGCCAAAATGCCGACAGAGTAATGATTTTGGAAGTCGGCAGCTTAGCCATGGAATTTTGGTGTCGGCATTCTAACTGGTGCGATTTTGAATGTCGGCGTTTTGATCATAGAAATTTGAATTTCGGCATTTTGACTAGTGGAATTTAGGATGTCGGCGTTTCGGTTATGGGATTCTACTTGTCGGCATTTTATGGTGGAATTCTGGACTTCGATATTCTGGCTATTGGAATTTTCGATTTCATTATTTTGGAATAAAGCATAGTATATAGAGGCTTATTACTGTTAACGTACCGGCAAATACCGTAGAAAAGGGTATCGTGTCCGCCAATTGTCCATCGATTTCGATCGGAGCGTTTGTATAGAATTGACCATGGTCACAACGGGGCAGCCAGGTCTCGTTCACCGCTGGCACCTAGAAAAAGGCTAAATAAAAGAAAAGTTGCTTCTCGCTTTCAAGCACGCATTATCGAATTCAATTGCTGCAAAACCCAAAGGCATGGCTGTAACATTTTTTTTCAAATAAATGGCTCATTAGAAAGGATCCGTTTGGAGTGTTAGGTACGTTTATTAGGGCACGGAGACCGGACATATACGCGATTTCAGATTTAAAGGAGCTACGAAGTGAAAATCGGAGTGTGCCCACAAAATGACCGACCTTCAAAAGCGGCGACAAAATTATTGCGTCGCGGAAAACGCCACGATTGGAGAGAATGTCGCCACTTGAAAAAGCGGAAATGATCACGCTTACTGACATGTCTTAATTATTTTGGCTTTTTATTCACCGAAACTACACTGTGTATTTAAGGAAAATGAATTCCCCAGAACATTTTGTAACATATTTTTTGCCAAAAATTCAAAAACCTTCAGAAGCACCAGAAAACTACCTGCTAAAACAGCAACACGATTTTAAATCTAAACATTCCGCTAGATCTGCTTATTTGTCCGATTAATTTTAATATGGAAATCCTGGGAAAAGTGAAAAAATCATATTAAAATCAATGTTTCATTAATAATAGTCTTTTCCTAGGATTAGTTACTCTTATTAGGCGGTAGATTCATTCCCACGTATTTTTCATAGCGATCAAACTTCATCGACAAGTTCAGGAGGATCTTTGATCTATTCGATTTCGATTTCTCTACCACTAACCGGGTACTCTTTCTAACTCTTTGCTTGCTAGTTATAAGTTCGGCGAGTTCTAGGTGAACTGCTTTAAAAATGAGGCGGCGAGAGAGGGAGAGAGAGAAAGAGAGAACAAGAAAGGGAGAGATAAAGAGAGTGAGAGCCAGAGAGAGATAAAGAGAGTGAGAGCGAGAGAGAGCGAGAGAGAAAAAGAGCCAGAGACATACCCTAGCATGATGCCTAGCCGATGTCAACACGTAGCAGAACAGAGAACCGCTTCGCGGCAATGCATCTGCAGCTGGCGAAATTTCCACCATCTCATCGAGGGCATCGGAGCGATTCCTAGAACACAGTTTTAACAGAATGGAGCAAATTATCTACGCTAATCTGCCTTTCTAAAGCGGTTAAGAAACCGCAAAATCCATTATTAGCAACTTGTATACCTTAAAATGTTTAAAAGCTTTTAAAAACTTCATGTTGCGGCACTCGACCTTGAAAAATTTTGACGCCTGTTGCTGACATGTTTACATAAATACTGGCAATTCTCTTAAAATTGTGTGTTTCAACCTTGCAGCTTAAATACTAAAGATCTGGTTAAGTAATTGGTTGTGCCGATGGTCTAGTGGAGATATGATATGATCTGGTATTAGACGCGTCGCGTAGCCGTCCACGCGGAGTCGGTTGAAGAGATAAAATTTCGCGATTATTTCCGTCCACGATTTTCTTTAGAATTATATACTAGGCAAAAATTCTTGAAAAAGCATGTTTCAACCCTTCCGCTTGTAAAAGTGATCCCTACTGGGGTTTTATTGCTCATGTACGTTTGTGGACACTGCTAGATACTACTGTGAGATTTGGCGCTTCACGTAGCTGTCGAGACCTAATGGGTGAAAGCGAATTTTCGAGCCTTCTAATCGGCAAAAAATTGTGAGTAAGTTCTCCCTCGGTCTAGTAAGTTCATGGCCGACTTGGGGTATTGTAAGATCCGGTCCGTCTACAAAATGTGTTTGTTTCGTGCGTCATGAAGCTGTCAACACCTAGAGATGGGTGGGGTCGATTTTGGGGATTCCTAGCTCCCTTAAAAAATCTCGGCATGCCGAGCTTTACAAAATCTATGCTTCAACAGTTCAAGTAGAAAAATAATGTTCAACGGGAATTCAGTTTGGCGGTTTTGTTTTTGATGCGTGCTATTTCGAATTTTCCTTTACAAAATTCGCTCACACCAAAAATTGGCTTTAAATTACATGTTTCAACACACGCCCTAGGAAAGTAATAATTATTCCTTGTATTGCAAAGAGGCGAAAATTTCAATCTATAATGTTCATTACAACGCCCTGCCTACACCGATTCGAAGCAAGGGGTCGATTCTGGCCTTCTCTAACACTGTCAGCATTTTAGCATTTTGATAGACACGATGTAAAAACAAGCAATATTTTTTAGCCACTTGCGGAAATCCGGAAAAGTAAAATTCGGAAATTTTACACGAAAATTATATGTTTCAACCTGAAAACTAGACCAAATTATTCGTGGCCTAGGCAATGAATTGCCAAAAAAGGCAAACACAATATTCCCGCTCAATAACTAAAATAAATTTCTCTCCTAAATTCAAATTTCTCGTTAAAGTTAGATGTTTCCCGCCTGGACCTAGCAAAAGCATAGCTGGCTATTTTAATGTGGTGCTCGACGGCTCTGATCTAATATTTGGCGCCTTACGTAGCTGGCGACACCTAGTCAATTCAAGGGGCCGAATTTTACGCCTTCTACCTCTCTAAAAATGTCATAAGACGGAACCTTTCCTTAGAAATTCTATGTTTCAACCCACGACCTTGACAAATAATGGTCAACGGCCATTTAATACAGTTTGGCGCTCTTTTTGGATTTTTTCGTGAAAAACTATGGTACCGAAACTTTTCCTAAAACTCTAAGTTTCAACCCAGCCCTAGGAAAAGTAACGATTATTTTTGGTAATAGTGACTGCCGAACGCTTGCTAGTATAATATGCCATTTTCAGCGCCGCGTAGGTGTCGACGCCTAGCCGCTTCCTGGGGTCGATTTTGGCGCTTCCTAGCTCCTTTAACTTCTCATAATTTTCCCCGGGCAATGTACATCACCATTTTATACTATCATAAATATTTTGCATAACTTATAAAAAAGTAGCTTTGTTTTTGGGTCAATATGTGTGGGATCAACAAAAAAATTATGATTTTGGACAATCCCAAGTTCCAAATTTGTTTCTAAATCTTTCCATTTTCTCTCTATTTTGCAAAATTCAAAATTCTATTTTTAAAATTTTGATTTAGCTGTTTTTCAAAATCCAGGCCGTTTGAGCAAAAACTATTTCATAGGATTGTGTTTTTAGCGCTTTCTAGCCCCGTTAAAATCTGATTTGTAAAAATGCGATAAAATGTTATGTTTCAACCTACCATCTCAAACAGTGCGCATTAAAACTATTGCCGATTCTACAGTGAAAATTGAGAAACGCACCACAGATGGATTTTCCAAAATTGTTTTTATCTTTCTAATTTTTTTTTGCATTTTCAAAATGCCGTAATTCTATTTTTATTTGATTTTATTGTTTTTCAAAATCCAGGCTTTCATAGCGAAAAATATGTCATTTCATGTTTTAGCGCTTTCGAGCGCCTTTAAAGGGCTGGAGAAAGATGGAATCGCTGAAAGAGCAAAGAGGGTCGCACCGGGCGGGGGTCGAACCAGGGGTGGTCCGCCCCGCAGTCCGATGCGCTAGCCAGTACACCAGAGGGTCGAGTGGAGAGGGGCGGCGGAGGGCCCCCACATACCCTGGGGCGCCTTGCCACCTGTACAAGAGCTGCCATTAGAAATAAAGCAATTTCATAGTGATAATAGCTAAAAAATGTTGTAGAAAAACTTGCTAAAGGATAGCAACGTACTTTGCAACTTTCTAGAGGTGTTTTGCTGTCTATGCGCCTCTTTTTCAGCCAAAACAGTGTCCCAAAACCCCGAATCGCCCAGAACTTGGCCGCCTGCTATCCAATCCAGCTCAAATTTTTACCATCGATGCGTATCACCAAGTCCTTGGTTTCAGGAAATTTTTAGTTGAAAACATTGGTAAATGAAAAAGTTATAGCCAATAAACTGGTTTCTTCAAACGCGAGAGGGGATTTGGGGGGCGCTTACGCGAGGGAAAGCGTCGATGGTAGCGCCGCGGCGGTCCGTCACCCCGACGGACGCCGGCCCATCTTTCTCCAGCCCTTTAAACATTTGACAATGCGGAACCGTCGGTAAAATGTTATGTTTCTAACCTCGGCCCACAGAAAATAATAAGCAACTTGGTACTTGGCTCTTCATTGGTAGTTGGGAAGCATAAAAAACGCACCACTCATCCGGTGCCAACGGTCTGGGCTGTACGCCACTTCGGATGGAACGACGATCGACATCCAGTGGAGCGTTCCTATCGTCAACCGGATTCCCGCGGAATGTGGCCAGAGACAGTAGACCGAGCACTAATAGACATCCACCAAGGCCCATCGAAAGAAGGCGGAGAGACCGTTGACGCTCATGCTGAAAATCGATGATTTGCTATCATCATGTCGAAATTTCAAAATTTAGAATGCCGAAATTTTCCGGAAGATTGACATATGCAAATTTCGACATGCTGAAACTTCGAAACGCTGAATTTTCGATATTTTTAAATTTGGACATTAGGTTTTTCGAAATTTGATTGCGGTAAAACTTCACTTGGTCCAAAAAATGTCGACAAAATAAAATTTCGAAGAATTGAATTTCGACAAAATGAAATATCGACAAAATGAAATTTCGACAAAGTGAAAACAACCCTTCGGCGACACGTCACCTAATCATATGCATTGCCTACTGGATCGCGTTTGTTTCAGCAGCGCGCAGCGCGTGCGTTGCGTACCGCGGGTGAGTTAAATTCGGAAGCTCCATAGCCAAAATTTATGGATATTGAATGGAAGCACCATATGATTGCACAAAAAAAAAAATTAGGAGTGAATCTGCGCGCCATTATTTTAGTTTTAGCAGACACCTAACTAAATTTTGACGAAACATTTATTTTTATCAAATTTGCTCTTCGTTGTCAGATTCTGGTTCCTTAGTAGGGAAAGCCTTTTTAAATGCTTTTGATAGTTATTATATTATTATTTTATTATTAAAATACTTTTTAAACACCTTTTTAATAGCTTCTCTTATCTTAAACCAGTGGAAAATGACCGCTTCGCGGCCCTTTTCCACTGGCCCCCGTCTAGGAACCATATATTCCCCTTCCGTTTTTCAAAGCCTGCGGCGCAAGAGCCTGACTCTAGAAGTCATTCTCTGGCCTGCGGCGCTAGGACCCGGGCCAATTACCTTTTCTCTGGCCTGCGGCGCGAAAGCCTGGGCCAAGGACCTTTTCTTTGGCCTGCGGCGCTAGAGCGAAAGCCAGGCCTAATCCTCGCACATCGAGAGCCTAGAATGATGTTCTGTTGATAAACCACCAAAAAGCAAAAAGTCATGTTTCGCCAGGATTCGAACCCACGACCATTCACATGGTAGGCCGAGCGCAAGACCACTACACCATGGGGCGAGATGGGAACAGGTATCGGGGAAGGCCTCTTCTGTCCTGGGGACGCAGCAGAGAAATGGGCGCCCCAATGATTCCGGGAGGGAGGCCTACTGGTCACTTTACCAAATTCCATTTTTTAGTCTGAAACTGCCAAAAATTTGTCAAAATAATAAGATGCGCGTGATCCCCACTATCGATTACATCAGTGCCCGAAATTACAGCCCGAAATTCCATCAGGGCTGCGAGTTATGGCCCGGACACCACGGCACTTTGGCCATTTTGTTAAGGATTTTTTAGAGAAATGCTTATAAAAACCTTATTTTAAAGAATTAACGAAAATCCAAAAAATAGTATCGAGATATTTGCACTATGCATCAACCCACCAAAAATCAGGGTCTAACTCCTTCAGGCAATCGAGATAGTCTCTGAACAAACCTTTTTTTGGCCAAAATGTTAAGGGTTTTACACTATTTTCCTTGTAAAATAGTTAAATAAAGGAATTTCGAAAAACAAAAAAATGCATATAAAGAGGATATGTTTCTCCGCCTCCATGCCAAAAATCAGCGCGAAATTCGGCCTGGCGGCCGAGAAATCTTCATTACAGAAAACACACATACTTTCCTCGCTTATAGGATAGGATTACATTATTTTGCGCTGTATCTAAAACTCTGAGTATATTTTTTGAGGCGCTATCGAATAGCGTTAAGAGAATGTCGAAAAATCTCGAAAACCCCGAAAAATTGCTTGCCACCTCGATTTTCCGGGTTATTTTTGCTTTTTTTATAGCACTGTCTTAAATTATTGTTTGTTTTGTTACATTAACCCTTAGCCCCCCCGCTAATGAACCTGAACCACCTCGTTCCCGATGGCTAGGTGATAACTGCAAAAACTAGCAGGATTTTTAGTAGGTTTAAAGGGCAGGCATAGTTTATCATGAAATCAAACGTGTTTCAAACCGAGCGGCAGTGAGCAATATCTTTAAGCATGGTACTCCTATGACAAAGAAACATTTATTTCCTTTTTCTGGTCAATGTATGATATTTAGACTTCTCTTTTAATTGTTTTAAGCTTTCATATACATATTTAAAGGGCGTTACGCGTTCTACCGTATTAAAACGATTTGCGTGGTAAATAGTAGAAAAAGAATAATTAAATTAATTTAAATTATTCAAGAACAAGTAAAATCATGGCCCAGTGAATAATTTTGCCGGTATCGGCGGTTCCAACCAGACGAAACCTTTTTATTTCAAAAACTCCAAATTCTTGTGGGATGCTAAAAACCAAATGTAAGTGAAATAAAGTGAAATATAACCATATTATATGTTGGGAAACTATCCAAAAGACATGGCATTGTAGACAATCAAAATTTTAGTCGAAAATTGGTCATTTTGGTCGAAAAAACTATATTTTTGTATTTTTAATGAATATTTATAAAGTTTTAAGTTAAAGATAAACAAAAAAGAGTATCAACCCTACCTAGATTTATATTAGAAAAAGTGAATCCTTAGAAAGCAGGTTAGTCGCCCCCATAATTCGAAAAACTTCTACCCACATGGCATTGAGAAAATTCAGGGGGTTTGAGCCGCAAATCGCAGAGAAACATCTATTTTGCAAGCATGGCCAACGGAGCATAGTTCTTATGCGTCTTGCTGCCGCCGCGACACGCAACGCGCACGAGGCATTTGCTTATTTATGTGTACGTTTTTGCGTTGCATAATTGATTGCGCTTGTTTCGCAGCGAAAAACCGCACGCGTTGCGTGCCGCGGTTTGAAAAAATCCGTACGAAGTTCATAGCGAAGAAACTTTATTTTCATTACTTGCCAGTCCCTTTAAATTATTAATAATTAACATTCCCTGTAATTTAATCGCTCTTTTTTTATAGAACGTTGAACCTTGAGGTCGATGTCAAAGTCGATGTTCCCTTTTCCCGTTGGCAAAAGATTTCGATCTCTACGGCCCTTTCCCCTTCGGGGAGGAGAACTCCTTCAAACATCTGTCTTTTCACAGCTTCTTCCGGGTTGCCCTCACTTCCTGAGAATAGTAGAAGAAGTGCAACGGAACAATTACAGTTGTTTTCTTGAATGGATCGATTTTTCAAACCGTTTAAATTCGATACTTTTTGCAAAAAAAATGTTTCCAAAAATGCGGTCTTTAAAAATGGGGCGCGACATGTGATTACTTCCGCCTAGGTTAAATTCGGATAATTGAATTATTATTCGGCTGGCCAGATTTTATGACTCTTCCGCAAATCGTGCTGCAAAATTTTTTATATAGCAGGAGGAGTTTAAAAAGTGTAACAAACTAAATTTTAATTAAACGTGTTTTGAAATTAACACAAATTCCTCCTTTTCGCAGCAATATCCCTAAAAAATTTCTCTGTCAGGACGGGGCCAACATATAATTCGACACAAAAAAACTAAATGGAAGCATTGAGGCTTTAGCCGGTCCAGTATATTTTTAAACATCGTAATGCCTTGTTTTTTTTGCAAAACAGGGTTATTAAAAAGCGGTTTTTGGAAATAAGTCCAAAAGCTAGAAGTAGATCCACTTCAATTTTTAGAAAACAGATTTCTTAATGCAAAAGAGTTTCGCAGAAATGTTACTTTGGGAAGGCGGCAAAATATATAATTTATTGACGCTAACTGATAACTGGGTTTGTAATGAGCGCGCCAATTCTTACAACTAGATTCTGTTTGGCAGCAACGTGTTTCGAAAAATGCGGTATATGGGATTGGAGCGAAACATATAATTCGCCACGCATTCTAGATTCTATAAAACCCCCAGTTCGTAAATTTTTGAAACTGGGGTCTCACTTTGGAAAAAATGTTACGAAAGATCCGGTCTAGCGAAGAGCTAATTTTTTTTAAGAACGGGTTGTTTATTTTTTTGCAAAATGGTGTTTCCAAAAATGTTGTCTACCAGGGTCGGGTGAAATAGATAATTCTATGCCGTCGAGACCCTGTTTTGCAATTCTAAGCCACATGAGAGAATTGTGCATATTAACCGTGGTCCAGTATATTTTTTAAACGCCGTATTGCGATTTTTCAGAAAAAATGTTTCGGCAAGCGGTGATAACAAAGTCGGAGCGAAATAATGAATAGTCAGGTAGCTTCTTCTGCCAAGAGTTTTCAAATTTGTTGCAAAAATAAGGTTTCGGCAACTTTCCTAACAAGGAGACGTTTTTGAGTGTCGTCGGGACTTTGGCACGGGATGAAGCCTATCTTGTGCAGAGCTGATTTCGAATATGTTAACCGTTTTTGCGGAATAGCCATTTCTCGAAAGTTATGAACGATTTAAACCTCAAAACAGGCCAAAATCGGCTACTTCCGATAGTCATAAAAGGCTTCGGAATAGGTTTTAGGCAAAACCAGATAGTACATCTTGTTCAGAAAAAAATTCTCTATAAAATGTACCATCTTTTCCAAAACCATTGAAAAGTTGGAAAAATTTGATTAATTGGTAGGTCCATAATTTTACAAAAATTTTCACAATTCCAGCATTTTTGAGATAAGTAGCTTATTTTATAGAGAATTTTTTTCTGAACAAGATGTACTATCAAGTTTTGTCTAAAACCTATTCCGAAGCCTTTTATGACTACCGAAAGTAGCCGATTCTGGGCTTTTTGGAGGCGTAAATCATTCATAACTTTCGAGAAATGGCTATTCCGCAAAAACGGTTAACATATTCGGAATTAGCGTAAAATTCTGCACAAGATAGGCTTAGTCCCGTGCCAAAGTCGCGACGACACTCAAAAACGTCTCCTTGTAAGTGGAAAGCTCTAAATATTTTGCAATTTCAGCAACGGGCTACTAAACAAAAAATTTAGGTAAAAAATGTTTTAAAAAGCTTTGTCTATCCCAAGAGTCCAATCCAGATAGCGCGTGCGATTTGACTCTCTTAATTCGCAACTTCAACAAAAAATGGGCTTTGATAAATTTTTTAAGCGAAAAGTGCGCCAAACATCTTACAAATTGAGAGAAAATCGTGTGTTACAAGAAAGAGCCTCGATAAATCAAAACTTCTTTCATGAATGGGCATTAGTTCGAGGATTAAAGGGCTTTTTGCGCATTTCTATTTTTGTCTATCCCATTTCCGGGTTTTCCGCAATTTTTTTCAGAGCTTCTTTCCGTTCTCCACTCCTAGAACTAAAAGCAAATTGCGATAAATGAATCGTAAATTTTTGAAATCCACTTGTTTTTGAAAAGCAGTGTTTCGAAAAATTTTGTCTAGCAGGAATTGATTGGCGCAACCAATCAAATCTGGCACAGAAAAATTCCGCAAAAAATGGGTTTATGCGCAAAAGTAGTTTCAAAGCAGTATTGTAATATAACAAACGTAGTAAAGTAGTATTGTAATATCCATTACAATAATGGCTATCATAATAATGCCTACAGATTTTGTGGGTATTGATTTTTAGATATAACGATCCTAAAGTAGCCCGAACCAAAAGCGCTATTTTTTTCTGAATCAAATTAGGGAACTGTCATTAATATTTAAGCGGTATAAGATCTTGAACTTCCAAACCATGATCCCCAATTGTAAGCTGCTAACCAAAATTTCCATCAATTTTGCGTGGTGACATGGTCTTTTTGGATTAATAACCGACCAAACTCGAGCCATAGATGCTCAACTTATAAAAAATGTGCATCGGAAAAGACTGGTAATGGCGCCAAAAAGTTAAGCCCAATCAGGATGAAGGGATCAATCTTTTCGACTAAAGTGATGTGCTACAAACAGCGCTCTGTTAAATCGACAGGAACCTTAAGTGTTTAGATTACTGGTTTCCTCTTTTCACGGTGAGTTTCTACGAAAGAAAAATGTTCCGAGAAATGATGTCTATCAGCAAGAACGCCCTGCTGTTAATATTGCGTTGGTTCGTTTCAAAAATCATATTTTCTTGGAAATAATGTGTTTCGAAAATGCGCGCTAATAACGTCAGATTCAAGACCGCAATCGGCGTAATAGGGTCAGGTACATGTACATTTTAAAATGTTCTAAATTGGTGGTAGGTGGTACTCTAAATTCCCCAACATTTTTGGCTACATAACTCCAATAAAAACAGGAAATTTGCAACTACCGTAATGCCTTAAAACATACCCGACTGCCCACAAAACGGCTCCAGTATTCCAGAAAATCGCTGACAACGCGGGAGAGGAGCGATGACTGAAAATTGGATGTTTATGGAGAAAACTTTTTAATTTTTTCGGCTTGTACGACGCACTGAATCCCTGGAAAAAAACAGAGAAGCATGAAATATATCGAAACACAAATTTTTAATCGCTTATAATAAGGCGCAAAATCTCAAATGCTTTTAACCTAATAAGCTAACGGCGTAAAAAGTCGCCAATTCCCGCTTCACGCAACGCGCAAAAATAATTGTGGACGCGTCGGGTGCCGTGTCGAAGGTAGGGATTAGGGCACACAAAATTCCACGCATTACTCCTTTAGAACCGCTGTAAAACACGTGAAATGGTGAAACGCATTATTTAATAAATTGCATTTTATGGTTTTTCGCTTTATTGTAGTTTCGTATGTATTTTGAAGGAAACCGGAGCTTAGGTTATCAACCTCAATGCTGTTTTAAGGATGAAAATGAATTGAATGGATTCTAAGAAAGAACGCATCCGCACGGCATACCAATATTATATCGTGGATTATGGCCCTGATACGGATGAAAGCGTGCGCATTGCGTGTCGCGGGATTGCAAACTTAAGTGGAATTTGTACGATAAATTTCGTTGCTAAATAACTCATCAATACCACCGAAAGTTTAAAATTTGTCGAAACAAACGATTTTCAAAAGTTTCGAAATTTTTTGGCGGACAGAAAATTGGGCTGGAGTTCCATGTTTGCTCGAAAATCTATAAAGCATAAAATCTGAAACTTACTTTCTAACCAAAAACAAAAAAAAACAAAAAACTTTTAAGAATTTTTCCTCGTTTAGCAGTCCCCCCATTAATCCTTCAAATCGACCAAAAACATAGAATTTGCTGAAATATAAGATTTTAACAAATTTCGCGCATCTTCCCGAAACCCATAATTGTTTTTTTCCGATTCAATGGTCTTTTAAAAGGGTCCTAAAATATGAATATTAATGCACGATATCTGCGGATTTTTCTAGTCACCGCGACACGCAGCGCGCCCGCTCGAGCCAAAGTGGAGCGAGCTGCTTGTCGTGGGTGGACCCAGATCCATATGGATTTTGAAGCAATTAACAGTCCGTGGCCCACACCAATCCCGCCTTCAAAACACACCAAAAGCCTAAAAATTTTTGGAACATAAGATTTTAGAAAGCTCGAAATTTTTTGGCGAACCGGAACTTATACTTTGACCACAATGATTTTTTCAAAGATCAGGGAAGCGGCATATATATCAATCCTATTGCCAAAAAATTCTGGACTTTCTATTCCCCGGGACCCGCAACGCACCCTCTCGTTCCAAGCGAGCAGAGTTGCGTGTGGCGGATGGTTAAGATTAAGCTACGATTTACGGTCCTTAAATTACAACCAACCGCAACCATTTCGCCGAAAAAACCCCTAAGAATTCCATTGGCATAAAAAATCCATAAACATGGCTTCCATATTTCTTTAATGTTTGAACCACTCGCACCGCAGCACATAAAATGCAGAAAAGACCATCGATCAGTGAAACTCACTTTTTTTAATCCGGTTGAAACTCGGATCATGGTTGCGTCTTGGAAAATTAAAAGAATACATATTAGATCTCAAACGAGTGTCCAGTGTTTTTTATGAAGCGCTAATTCTTTATATGGATGGTTACAACAGGCGGCAGTGTTTTTGGTTGTATCCATCTATCGTCTATCGATTTTGGAGATTCAATACGCAATCAGAAAAATAAAGAACATCCAATTTTGTTGAAACTTGTATCTTCCAAAATCGACAGATTTTATAGATAACGATCTGGCATCAGAAATACGAGGCAAATAAACGGTTCCGGACTGTTAGTGGGGTACCAAGTTTTTCAGAGCAATCCTGTACGGATTTTCTAACAAAATATAAACCTATTTGATAGCATTTTAAGCAGTTTTTGTATAACATAACAAAACAAAAACTGAAAAAAAACGAAACCTGCCATAAAAACGTACCTGTAAACTTGAAGTTTGCGTTTTCGGCAGCAGCGGTTCCATATTTTCTTCTTTTTCGGGCCCAGATACGGTAGTTCGATTCAAAAATTTTAGGGAATGCCCGATGATCGGCGATTTAGCAGCAGGGCATTCAGATTCCGATCTTTCCTCTAGACGGTGTGAGGCGAGAAGAGGAGAGAGGCGAGAGATAGAGATATATCGAGGGCTCTTCGAAGCTTCCTGCTCTTTCGAGGCGACTGGGATCTGCATAGATTATGATCTCGTTGACGGGGGGGAAACCGGCAGAAAAAATTGAGAAAATTCAGAAATAAAAATTGAACCGGCAGCGAAAAGGACTTTGAGGACAAAGTGCAGTGAAAAATAGAAATTGCCATTTTTTGAAAATTAAGAATTATTAATTAATTTTGAAATCGCATCGAATAATAATAATAATAATAATAATTGGGCCAAACATCACGAAAAACTTTCATATCAAAATGTCTATTATCCAGAATTTGTTAAAATTGCAATAAAAATTTTTGATCCTACCTTATATAATTTGGTCGCGTATCTTTGTGTGTGTGTGTGTGCGGAGGTCAGTTTCGAGGCCAGATTTGAGGGCCTTCCCGTGTCCAAAATGCTCCGATTCTCCGCCACTGGGGGGAATCGACCTTCCTCTTTCCGATGGCGTTCTCAGAATTTCGATAAAATAGAAGTTTACAAAGTTAAAGCCGGTTTTATTCATTTTTGGGGATACCTGAGGGCTAATTTGCATAATGTGAAAAAAAATAGAAATTTCCTCATTCTTGCCAGTTGCACTCGCGAGTTTGGTCGGGGGCGGGGGGGGGGGGGGGGGTCGTCGGACCCGAGTTATCGGAAAGGCAAATTTCTCATGCAAAGGCCGCATTCCAGCGCCCAAGGCCCGCGAAGCGGGTTTTGGGCGCTGGTTCAGTTATAAATAATTGATGTTTCGTTTCCGGTCCCTGTGAAGCCTTAGATTCAGAAAATAATAGGAACGACGAAGCTGACCGAAACAACAAAATCTTTGTGAGTACTGGTTCGTTAGCAGGGGGGGAGAGAGGCGATATGACGCTGATATGATGCGATCGATTACGCAATGTAAAGACAGAACCATGCTTGCGGGTTGACTAGTCGTAATTAATACTATGCAAAAAACCCGAAACTCAAGAATAAAGAGTTGATGTTTCATTTCCAGAAGCTGTAAAGTTTTCTTTTGTGAAAATAATGAGCTAAAAGACCGAACGTATTAGATTTTCCCGTAACTGCGACACGCAACGCGCACACATTCTGGACGCTTTGAATGACTAACACCCTGTAAAGGAAGAATCATGCGTCGCGTGTCGCGGGCACGATCAATGATCCACGGCAAGAATTTCCGAACTCCAGGATTAAAAAAGCGATGTTTCATTTCTCATCCATGTAAAGCTTCAAATAAGGAAATGTCGTACAGAAGAGATGAAAGAACTTCGTGGTCTAGATTATACCGTAAACGCTACACGCAATGCCCACACCGTCCGCGAAATTCAAGAATAACAAAATGATGTTTCATTTCCCGCCGCTCTAAAGCCTCAGGTTCAGAAAATAATCTACTGAGCTCGCAACTGTTTTAGTTAACTTTAAATGACCAATGAATTTGCTGCGCCGCGACACGCAACGCGCACACCGTCCGGACGCTTTGAAGCGATTACGCAATGGAAAGACAAATACATGCGTTTGCGCGTCGAGGGCACGTCAAATAATCAAAAAAATGTGGCGCCAATCATGAATGAACCGTATGTTTCATCTATCAGACCTCTAAAGTGCTGTATTCGGAAAACAGTATACAAGAAAAAGGAAAAGGAAAGGAAAGGTCACGCTGACATTTTGCCATTTCAAATCTGATCGACTTGAAATTTTGAACAGAGCCGCGGAAGGGCATTTAAAATGTTCACAGATCTATATCGGCACAGTAGTTTTCCAGCTATTGCAAAAATACTATTTTACTCACGTTTTCGCTGCATTTTTCCGGCCAGCTTTTTGGACTTCGCATTAATTAACATAAATTTCCAGCCATAAATCTCTTATTCTTCTAAACACCGGAGTTGCGAATACCGGGTTAAAATTACTTAAATAGCCTATCTCCAAGTCGAATTTCGCGCAATAAAAAATTTCCTAGGGTAAAAAAGTCATTTTCACCATACATTTCACCGCTCAATTCCGGCGGGAAACAGGTTAAAAACGTAACATAGAGTTTATTTTTGCAATAACTCGAAAACTACTGTAGTTAGCAGGCTGAAAGTTTCTGTGAACATTTTAAATTTGCTTGCGCGCCTCTGTTAAAAATTCCTAGTCGATTTCATTTCTCGTCCCTGTGCGACTTGAAAATGAGAAATTATTGCTCGGATGGAGCCACTAGGTTAAGCTGTTTACATAGTTTTTACGGTAACCGCGACACGCAACGCGCACCTGGTCTGGCAGCTCTGAATGGATTACCCACTGTAAATGCCACCAATGCGATGTGTGCCGAAGAATCGCTAAAAGCGGCATAAAGCAGCAAAATTTCCCGAGCTCAAGAATAAAAACAAAAGTTTCATTGTTCTTCCTTTTCGAGTTCGAAATTGAGACAACAGTCAAAGTGTGCCGGTCGATGATGAAAAAATATACACAATATCGGCATTTTCTGACTTTGAATTTCCTAGCGAATTTGTCGCGCCGCGACACGAAACGCGCACTTAGCTGGGCCGCTCTGAATCGATAATACAAAAATACGCGTGTAACGATCAAGAATCCAAAGAAAGTATTCCCGAAAAGAAGATTAAACAATGGATGTTTCATTTTTTGTCCCTCTGGAGCTTCCAAGTCAGAAAATAATCGGCAGTGGGTTGCGAATGGCATCGAGGGCGGATCGAGGGCGCGTTAAATAATCCAAAAAAATTGGGCGATAATCGAATAAACTATTGATGTTCCATCTCCCAGTCCTCTGAAGTTTTATATTGAGAAAACGGTATACAAACCGCTTCGCGACTTTTCAACCCTGGCCCCGTCTAATCCCATGATATTGCCCCTTTGCATAATTCGGCCAAATTCTATGAAAAATAATGAAAAATGCACCCTCCCCGACGTTATATAGGCTGACACCACTTCCGGCTTATGCTAATTAATTCTTAAGAAAGAGGCTGCCCGATTTTTTAACAAAAATTGATTTTTAATGTCGATAATAGCATAATTTGTAAAATCTGATATGCGTGCAGTCATCTCGGCTTCATTACGCACCTAATGGCGTATCATACTTAGCCTAATACCCTTTCCCCCTTGAGATATCCTCCGGACACCCTGACGGAAGTTGCATGCAAAGTGGCACACACACACACACACATAAACACTATTTTTTTATATATAGTAGGATTAACTGTCGGTTTTCGCGCACCGCGACACACACTCTGAACAGATTACGGCATATAAGCCTTGAGGAATGGCTGCGGGTCGAGGGATTAAGTGTCGTCAGAATTAATACAATGTAAAAGTGGCTGAATTTCAGGACTAAATACTTGATGTTTCCTGATCAAATATTTGAGTCGCGGCTGCGGTAAGATTTATTGAGACTTTGACTATTGAGATTTATAATAAAATTCTTAACTTTAAATTAAACCTACGCTTCCCCGTAAAGGAATTGCAAAACTCTAAAAAATCTTATTAACCAATGCTAAAGCAAGCACTCAAAATTAAAACGTGCGACTAGCGCCAAAGGCACGCGAACTATCTCCCCCGAAATCCTAAAATTAATCTGTAACTTGCTTTTTCAAAGAATTCTGAAAAACGATTTTTCAGGAAAGAAGAATCAAAATAAATAAAATTATTTAAGGTCTAAATTTTATCAATTGCCGACTCGTTTGGGCGGAAAAATCAGTTTCAAAAGATTTAAAGATCATGTTTCATGAAAAATACTACCTTTTCCTGGTCGATAAGTTGCATTATGGAGAACCAAGTGTCGAACGCTATGAATTTATTATTCCCCCTATTTCTAGCCCAAACATCGGCGACAAGTTCAAGAGGATCTTTGAGCTTTTCGATTTCGATGTCGTTACTATGAGGCGGTTCTACTTTCTGGCTTCTCTCTTTTTGCTTGCCAAGTGTAAGTTCGTCGAGTTCTAGGTGAACTTCTTGAAAAACGGGGCGGCGAGAGAGATAGAGAGAGAGAGAGAGTGAAAGATAGAGAGAGAGAGAGAGGAGAGAGAGCGAGAGGAGAGAGAGCGACAGAGAGAGAGAGTAATTCTTAAATTTATAGCGCTTTATAACCATTAAACTAGAGATGTTACGCATACGAATACGACATGGGAGTTACGCGTCGTATTCGAATAAGCCGTCGGAATCAAAAATTTCATATTTCCGACCCGATCATCGTATTCGAATTAGGGGCGGAACCAAGCGAATGCGACGTTCGTATTCGTTTAAACCGGTTCACATCGGGATAATAAGCTAATTGGGATGCAAAGCGATATTATCAAGAAAACGGTCGGAAAATGGAAACAAATAGTCAGAATATGCATAATTTGAATAGATTTAGGAGCCAATTTCTCGGGCATTTCCGGTGGCTGTGTCAA